GCTGGAATCGGGTGAAACGGGTGTCTGATAGTGCGGACGTTTACAAATTGCAAAGCTCAAGCGCGCGCTCGCCTCATCACTCAATTTCTTTTTAACGTTCCACCACTCTTCTTTCTCCCTCCCTCTCTCTCTTCCTTCTCTGAACATCTTTAGTTAGTGCACGCACAGGCGACGGGCGTGCCACGCACACACATGACCCTCCAGACGGTGCTGGCCAGCTTCTTCCCACCCAAGGGCACGGCCATGGAGTGGAACAGCAAGTACAATTGGCAGCCCATTCCGGTGTTCTCGCAGGAGCTAAATGAGGATACGGTATGTCAACCAATCAATAATGATGCAATCAATTGATCAATTGATATTGATTTATAGCCGAGCTATCAGCATAACAAAACAAGGGGTTCATTTGGCTAATAATGCTATTTATAAGCCTTTTCTTAACAATTTCTTTTTTTTTTCTTGAAATGGCTTTAAAACTAATTTAAATGAGAAATGTGAAACATTTATATTGTCAACATAGAGTTGATTGCAGTTGAAATTTACAATTTTTTGAGGAATTTTATTTAAGTTTAACAAATTATATTATGTATTACATTTTTACTTATTTATTTTTTAACAATATAATTAAAGTTCTATTTACTTATTTTTTTAAATTTATTTAACGGGCAAAATTAGGAGTCTATGGCATATAAAAGCCTTTATTTGAAAAGCATTTTATATTTAATTGACTAATTCTTCCTACCTTCAATCCCTATAATTCTATATTCGAATCCGATATTCGCTTATTTAAATTTTGTTTTTTTTTTTTTTTTTTGCTGAAGCCAAACACCTCTTTATACATCCAGCAATAGTCAAATTTAGCAACTAAAAAAAAAAAAAAAAGAAATAGAAATTAAAAAAAAAAAAAAATTAAAATAAAAAACTTTTTTTAAATTATTAATATATTAATATATTTACATGTTTCATCTCCTTTTATTTCATACAAATATTCAAATAATCATTTAATAAAAAATTCAATGAAATGCTAGTACTAAAAATAAAATTACAAAATAATATATATAAAAAAAAAAAACAACAATTTATTTTCTAATATATTGCTTTAGGTATCCACATATTCATTTAGTATACAAACAAAAACTTACAGATAATTTTTATATTATTCTTATATTCATTGTAATTAATATTATAGTATATTCAGCTCTAGCCTGCTCTTCTCTAATCTCTTTACCATCCATTAAATTAACTCACTCTATCCTCTATCAATTACCAGTTGCTGCTTGTGCGCACACCTTGCCCGCGCTACTTCGAGGCTCTGCACGAGGTGTACGAGCTGCCTGAGGTGAAAAAGGAAATTGAGCCGTACCTGGACATGTTTAAGGAGCTGGCAGCGCACACCGGCCTCAGCTTCAATGAGCCAGAGGATGTGCAGTCGCTGTATCTGACGCTGCTCGCGGAACAGGAATGGGGCCTGGATTTGCCGGAATGGACGAAGCAATATTTTCCGGAGAAAATGCAGTTCCTAACTGAGCAGAGTTATGTGTACAATGTATATACGCCCGAGATGCAGAAGATCAAGGCGGGCCCATTCCTCAAGAAGATGTTCGACGAGATGCAGCAGAAGCGCAACGGCACCCTGAAGCCCGAGAAACGCAAGCTGTTTATTTATACGGGCCACGACTCAACTGTGGTTAATGTGCTGTCTGGCCTGAAGATCTGGGAGCGCCAGCTGCCGCGCTACTCGGTGATGGCACTGTTTGAGCTGCACAAGAACAAAGAGACCGGTGATTACTGGGTGGAGATTTATTTCCGCAATAATCCCAAGGCGCCGGCACAAAAGCTAACCGTGCCCGGCTGCGAGTTCCAGTGTCCGTTGGACAAGCTGCTCGAGCTGGCCGCAGATGTGGTGCCCACCGAGGCGGATGCCAACCGCTGCGATGCTCAGAACGAGCAGTTCACCGAGCCGCCACTGCGTGGCCCATAGAATGCCGGCCCATAGATGGCCCCGGGCCAGTTTCCTATTTGGAATCGAACGAGTGCTGCTATAACTCAGGGAGCTTCAAGCTAGTTAAGTCGAACGTTTTAGTTTAAGGCCAAACTGTTTATACTTATCATTAAAGATCGAGTCGAGGAATTGTCAGCCGCGTGTTGTCGGGTGTTTGAGTTAGCGCCAAAGTCAGCGCCTCATGTGGCATGGCAGCCAAGTTGGCTCATTTCCGCTTGTGGCGCCGCCATTGCCCAATAGGCCGCTTCCGTTTGCCTTTTGCCAGCTCCGCAAACAACTTCCGCACTTATTTTACCAGCTGAACCACAACTTCTCTCTCTCCCTCCCTCTCTCTCTCTCTCTCTCTCTCTCTCTTTCTATCTGCCTTTGCCATCTCTATGTTTTGCTTTGTATCTTTGAATCTCGCCCGCCCTTTGGCTTTGCTCATTTTTGCCAAGAGGTGACATTTTTCGCATTGCGGTTTACCATAAACTATTTCATTGGGGAGTTGTTGTCTGTGTACATTAGCAGTGCGCTCCATGCTTGGAGCTTGCCGCTTGGTACTTGCTGTTGGAGTTCCATGCCTGGCATTGCTATTGCCATGTGACCCCCACCAACCCATTCAGTTCCACATTGTTTACTCTTGTGCGTTCCCCATCTGTCTCTCAATGTGTGCCCACTCTCTCGCACACGCTATCTCCCTCTCTCTCTCTCTCTCTCTCTCTCTCTGGCTGTCTGCTCTATGCACATATCTGGAAACTTTATTTGTCAACGGGACGCATATGTTGTGTGCTTGCCAAAAAAAGAAAAAGAGAGAGGGACAAAAATGAAGGGAAAAAATATTAAATAAAGGAATCATATCCTGGCTTACGCTCGCATTCGCATTCGCATTCGCTTTGCTATCCTTGTCGGTTTGTTGTTGCATTTAATTTTACTTAATTTGATTTTGGTGGGCTGAGAAGACTTTTGCAGCTGACTGAGGAGGACTGAGGGAGCCTCACGCATATGCGTTTTATTTGTATGATTAATGGCAGAGCACAAATATTATTAAGGATTGTCACAGCCTTAAGACTATATATATTTTATATATGCAAATATTTTAAAGAAACTCACTTGATTTAAGGAATCCAGTTCGAGCTAGTCTTTCGCACTTCACTTGAGTCAAACGCGCTGCAATTGTGGGCTCACTTGACTGCAACGCCGAGCTCTGGCCGGGCAATAAAATGCCACAAAACCTTTTTTTGACAAATGAAACGTGGTACAAACAAGACGCCAAAGCAGCCACCGCAACGAGCCGGGCGCCTGGCCCCAAAAGTCTGAGCGCCGAGCCGAGTGCCAACAAAGATTTATGCATTTTGCAGTGTGTACGCTTTATGCGAAACTAAACGGCAAACAGTTTGAGTTGGAGTGAAGAAAGGCACTGGTTGCGCTCTGGCTGGGCCGGACGGGAGTCGGGAGTGGGCTATGGAGCAAACATGTTTTGCATGTTGCATGCCCCGCACTCAGTCAGCTGGGCTGGGGCATGAGTCTATTGTGCCGCTTAATAGACTGAACTGCAGCAGGATCTGGCAGCTGGCAAACATTTGTGCAGCTTATTAATATGCAGCCCATTTCAGTCTCACGCAGCTAACGGAGATTAGACTAAGAGCTGCTGCAAGGCAGGTGCAAGGCAAGGCAAGACAGGTGCAAGGCAGGTGCAAGTCAGCTACCACCGGCTATCGTCAATTTTATCTACTAGGCCAAGCGTAAAACTTTTACGCTCCGTATCGAAAAGTCGTTAGTAAGCTGACCGCAAAAAGAGAGATGTGGGCAAAAAGCAGTCGACAGTCGACAGTCGAGAGTCGAGAGTCGACTCAGTCGACAGGGTTGCTCGGCTAAGGCTTTACTGTAAAACAGAAACCAAAAGACAAAAAATAAAATAAAATAAAAATTAAAGTTTTTCCAAAGACTTGCACTTAGCCTCAAAAGTTTTCTACACCAAAGTTTTCTGACTGAGCTTGTCTCTCGGCTCTCTAAGTAGATTTGCTGCCCCGGCCATATGTCTGCAGCTAAAAAATGGCTGCCTTCTGGGTGGGTGGCCAAAACTTGCCACACCCCCATTAAGTAGCTGCATAATGGGCGTAATAACAATGCGAAATAAATATATGTAAAGTCGACAACGGAATGACATTCAATGCGAAATGAAAAAGCATTTTTTAAAAATTATAATATATTTAATTAAACAAGATTTCTGCTACCTTTGGTCGCAAATTAATATAGTTTTAAACTATAAATTTATATAATTGAAATAAATTGAAATTCATTAAACTCAACCTCCTCCCTTCGATATATACTTATACATTTATATTATATATTTATATATTTATATATATTTAATTCATTCTAAAAATGCTTAGAATATTATATTTATTATTTATAAATTATTATTAATTTATACTGTAGCACTTTCTGCAATTCCTTATGGCAAATTAATTTAATTTCATTTAATTTTAAAATCAACATCAATTTCAATTTTTTAATTAAACAATAATCTAGATTTAATATAATTAATATATATTTTAATTTTTTTTTCTAAGTTTATTTGATTCTAAAATATTAATGATTTATTATGTTGTCAACACTAATACGAAATTTTTTTAAATTATGCAATCTTTTATTATTAAAATAATTTATATATTTAAATTTTTTTTTTTAAGTTTACTTAATTCTAAAATATTAGTAGTTTATTATGTTGTCAACACTAATTTAATTTTTTTTAAGTAAAAAAATATTCCATTATTAATATAATTTATATGTATTAAAATTTATTGATTATTATTTTTTTAAGTTGATTTCATTCTAAAATATTAATAGTTTTTTAAAATTTATTTTTAATTTCTTCAATATACATCGTACTTCAGTTCGATATACTTCAATTAATTCCATTCTACAAATTCGAGCACTGCTTTATACATACATATATACATATACATTTATATATATATACATTTTCCTAATGATAATTGTGCAATATTAATCCATAATGTGGTCGAAAGTGGTGGGCCTCCTAAAGAGGAGCGTCCTGCTGATTGCCACGATTATCATAATGGTTGTCTGTCTCATCTGCGTCTCCTTGCTGTCGGGCTACAATCATAAAACGAAGAAAGTGGAGGGCATTGTGATACACTCGTTTCTGGTGATGATATTTTTATTCGTGCTTTGCGACCCAATCAAGTTCCTGATTCTGGCCGTGGACAGGGCTTGGTGGCCGCGTCGTCGCGACAGCTACTCGGTGGATCGGACTGCTATGATTCATACGCGCCTGCACTACCTGAAGATGAGGCTGAAAATTCTGCGCTCCCAGCTGGTGGCCACGGACAAGCACTGCAACGAGTCCCTGAATCTGCTCTACCAGTCGATCGCAAATGACCTTTGGCTCTACGGCAGGTACTTCTTTCTGCTGATGTGCCTGGTGCTGGTGACCTGGGACCAATTGCTCTGCTACAATACCAAGCACATGGAATCACTGTTTGTGCGCAATAATTCGCACGGCTGGGGACTGGAGAAGGTGTATTCGTTTGATGACTTCTATAAGTTCCTGGAGTCGACACTTGTGGAGCCCTTTGACCCAAACTTCGAAGAGAGTGGATCCAGATGGTGGATCTATGGCGATCATACCATCAAATTGGGAGGTGTTCGGTTGCGCCAGCTGCGTGTCAAAAAAGGCTATCACATGGGCTGGAAAGATCTAAAGTATGAGGATAGGGACTATATGAGCCAATGGGAGCTGCCCTATCAACGATTGCCGTACACGAATAAATATTGGAAAATCTTCACACCCTGGCTGTCCATATATCCCACCCTTACCTCCGAGGAAAAGTTTTTTTTGAACTTTGGCAATCAGGGCTATGCGCACGACTTCAGTGAACTCTACGGCTACGTAACGCTGCTCGCACGCACCGCCAAAAGCAGCCGGCTGGTCATTCAATATTTGAAGGATAATAAGTGGCTAACACACTCGAAGACCTGCGCCATATTCATGGACTTTACGCTCTTCAATATGGACGCAAACATGTTCACCGTGGCCACGCTGGCCCTCGAGATGACGGCATACGGAACGATTGAGTATGCCGTGCACATTGAGAGCTCCAAACTGCTGATGCTTGATGAGTTTGATTCGCTACTCAAGATACTGATAGTGTTCCTTTATATACTGGTCTTTGTGCAGTTCGGCAAGTCGGTCATCATCATGCTCTGGTGCGAGCCGAAAAAGCTGCGCAGCACATGGAACAAACTAGATTTGGTGATCATCCTGCTGAACATTGCGCTGATCTGTTTGCTGATCACACATCAGATCCTATTGAACAATCGGCTGCTGAGCGTGGAGAATGCCAGCGTCCTAGTGTTCCTCGACTTTCGCATTCCGGTCCGTGTGCACATTGCAATCGAGGTGATCCTGGGATTTCTCGTTTGCCTTACCACGCTGCGGTTGTGGCGCGTCCTGCAGTTCGCCAGGGTATTCCAATTGATAGCAGCCACGCTGTATGCGGCCTGGAAGGCGTTGGCCAGCACGGCCATGTTAATATTGATATTTCTATTTGCCTTCGGCATGGCCGTGGGCATCATAAATGGCAACTATACGATCGGATTCGCTAGCCTAACGAGGAGCATTATCTCGTCCGTGTGCTTCGCCTTGGGCTTTAAGCGCCAATTGAATCCCGCCGATCTGCTGCACGGCGGCGTCTATCTTGGCCTTATTTTCTACGTTATTCTGGCCTTTTTCATTGTCATTGTGATGATGAATCTGTTTATCACAACGCTCAGAGATTATTTCGGCCATATTCGGCGAAAAATGGAAGCCAGATTCGTCTTCAATCAGATCACTTTTCTGCAATTTCTACGCGCCGAATATGCGCCAATTTTTCGGTACTTTCTCGAGCTGCCCTGCTTTAAGAGGGGCTACAAGCGTCACAATCGCACAGTCCACCAGAACATCGAGATCGCATTGCAGGCCAGATCGAAGGGGTACAAGCCAAAGCTGGTGTTCCACGCCCAAAGCGAGGATCACCTCAATCAGTTGAGGAACATCGAGAAGAAGGAAGAGCAATTGAAGCACGACAAGTACAAGGAACGCATCGAGCGAATGCACACGATTGCGGCTCTCATGCAGACGCAATTGGAATTGCTCAGCCACTTGCTCTTCACTGAGGCGATGTTAGCTAGAGACTCCGAGGACTCAATGTATGAAGCTTCGGACTCTGCGTCTGAGCAAGAAGCCAAGTACCGTAGATAACACAAATCAACTCAATGTCTCCCAAAATATATTAATGAAATTTACGGCCAACTTGGAGTTTGTCTTTTGTTTCCACTGAATGTTAGTACAGAAGGAAAATATATTTATACATATATTAACTGAACTGAATATTAATTGTTAAAAAAAGAGATTGTTCTTCATAGTTTTAGCTATTCGAAAAATTAAATTTCTTTTCCATACTGTTTATATAAATATTAAGTTTTACAAAATAAGAAAAATATGTCCTTTTAAGTTTGAGCTATCCGAAAAATTAAATTGGCTTTTTATTATTTTAAAAAAAAGTCTTCAGTAGCGAAAATTAGAAATCGTTCTGAAGAATTATTACAAATATTTTAAGTAAAAACTTTTAATTACTATATATAAATAAATATTTAAATTGTTTTTATTTTGAATGAATTTTTAATTATGTGTGTGTTTCATTTAATTAACTTGCTTTTTTCTATAAAACTTATTTATTTATTTATTTATATGGGACACTTTATATTTTATTTAATAAGTGTTTGTTACCATCTATTATTTTATTCTACTTATTTATTTGTGGTCAGTTTTTCTCATTCAACAATATATTTATTATTAATTTTTTTTTATAATTTTTTTTTTTGTTTAATTAATTTTTTCTTTTATTATTTTCTGTGTTTGAATTGAAATCTAGATGCTTGCGCTTTTTCTGTTCGAGTAGTTGGCCAAGTTTTTACGAAACTACCTTTCAAAATTATATAGCTTTATTTTTAGTGCTGGCAGCATCGTCTGGTAATTAACAAAAAAAAAAAAAAAAAAAAAAAATAAATAAAATAAAATAAAAAAAAAAAAAAAATAAAATATATATATATATATATATATATATATAAATATCTTTAAATTTGCTTCAGCTGTTGTTCCAATCATGCAGCCGAAAACCAGACGCCACTTACTCATGCTGCTGACCACAGCCATCGTTGGGACCTGCATGGGTCTCATGATTTACTTTTCGGGCTTTGACCACGAGACGATGACTGCGAAGAATGTGCTTATTACTGTGGTCATAGTGCTGTTCTTCGAGAGGACGATCGCCGACCCAATCAAGTTCTTCTTCATCGCTTTGGACATGTCCCTCTGGCCGTATCCCATGGCCAAATATCGGCCGTACCGTAAGGAGGATGACAATATTGAGAACTACAATCGTTTGGATTTTCTGAAGCTGCGCTTGAGGTCAATGAAATCGAAAATGCGGATCACCGAGCGCTACCGCAACGAGCAGCTGAATCTAGAGTTTCGCAACATTATCCACGACCTGCAACTTTATGGCACATACTTTCTGGTGCTGACCGGGGTTGTCCTGGTCTCGCGCAACGAGCTGACCTACTACAATACGGTTACGATGAATAAACTGTTTATGTTTAATCATTCGATCTACGTTGGCCTCAACGAGGTCTATCACCTGAATCAGCTGTTCGATTTCATACAATCGTCGCTAATCGAAGCCTTCAACAAGGGCGACTCCGCGATGGGCATCTCCATTTGGACGCACATCATGCAGTCGAAGCTGCTGGGCGTGGTGCGTCTGCGCCAGCTCCGGCTGGCGAAGGAGCAGTTCAGCTACGGCAATCCCGAGTACACGGAGCAGCCCTACAAGCCCGATTGGCAGCTGCCATATCAGCAATACCATTATGCGGACAAATACTGGCGTGTCTACGATCCCTGGGTGCCCATGCGCAAGAGCGAATTCACCGAGAAGCTTGTGCTCAACTTCAATCACCATGGCCAAATGCACAACTATCCCGAGCTGAAGGGCTATGCGGCCCTGCTCTGTCGCGCCAAGCAGAACAGCCAGAAGGTGCTTGAGTTTCTGACCGACTACAATTGGCTGACATACAACACGAGCGCCGTCTTCATGGACTTTACGCTCTACAACATCGACGCCGACATGTTCAGCGTGTGCACGCTGTGGGTGGAGCAGACGCCCTTCGGCAGCATCATACCGGGCATGCACTGCGACAGCATTCAACTGATTGTGAATAGCCTGCAGATATCGTATTTGAGACTGTTGATTCTGCTCTACTACGTGATCACGTTCTTGAACTTCATTCAAGCATTCGTCGTGAACGTTTGGTACGAGCCGTCCAGGCTGCGCAACATCTGGATTATAATGGATGCGTTCATCATAGTGGTCAACATATTGCTGATTGCCACGATCCTGTGGCGAGCATCGATTGTGGCCTCGATGCTGAAGAGGCTGGAGGGCGCCAATAGGCTCGAGTTTCTCGACTTTCGCATTCCGGCTCGCCTGTATGGCCTGTGCAATGTTCTCACCGGTTTTCTGATCAGCGCCACCACGCTGCGTCTGTGGAAGGTGCTGCAGTTCGCCCGGGTATTTCAGATATTCACACGAACCCTGTCCTCGGCCTGGATGCCCCTGCTCATCACGTGCTCGACCATCGTCATCTTCCTGGGGGCGTTCGGCATCGCCACATGCGTTATCAATGGCAACAACAACACGTACTTCATCCATGCGTTCACCAGTGTTGTTTCCATCTTGTGCTTCTCGTTCGGCTTCAAGACCGAGATCCGGCCCGAGGATCTGTTCCACGGTGGCAAGTACCTGGGCGTTATTCTGTATGCGACCATGGGATTTGTGGTCGTGGTGCTCCTGCTCAATGTCTTCTCCAGTCTGATTAACACGTACTTCATCGAAGCCAAGGTTCTGGGCGACGCCAAGTTCAAGGAGCAAATCACATTCTTTCAGTTCCTGCGCGTGGAGTTCGACCATACTTTCCGAATCCTTGGCAAGGTCTTCTGCGTTGAAAAGTCTTACAAGCGCAACGGACGCACGGTCGCCGAGAATGTCCAAATCATGCTGGACAAGCGCGAGCGCAAGAAGACCGTTGAGAAGAACGAGCACTTCCTTCAAGTCGACTACAGGGAGCGCATTGAGCTGACGCTCTCCATATCGCGCATTTTGAATATACAAATGGAAATACTGGAGAACATACTGTTTGCCGAAATCGAGGAGAAGAAGAAGCAGCACAAGCCACACAAGCCAAAGGGCAAAGAGCCGAAGGCATCCTATGACAGCATGGTCTGAGCAGGGGTCGACTCGGCTCGGCTGGGGCAAATAATTTATAATTGCAGTTAGTTTTTGTGTGTTGTTGTTTTTCATTTGTCATTTGTCATTTGCTATTTTCTATTTCCTTTTTTTTTTTTAATTTTTCATTTGGCATTTAATTTTATTTCATTTCGCTGCCCCTGCTGCCTCCTGCTCGGCTGTGTGACTTCACAAATAAATAATTATGCGCAAACAGAGAAAACTTTCGACTTGAAAAGGCTTTTAGGGCAATTTGGTGATGGCTTTGTTGGACTTGTTTGCAAAAACTTGCGGAACCTGAGCAGCCTGGCTGCGGTCCAAAACGGAGTTGACTCATAAGTAGCGCAGCAGCACATCGGGCAGCCGAGTTGAGAGCGCTCGAACAATTGTTATAGGTTGGCAAATAAAAATTTAATACCTCATGCTTTTAGGCTGCTGCTGCTGCTGCTGCGGCTGCTGAAAACTATTTGTGCTGCTCGGTTTTGTGTAATCGGAGGCTGCAGTTATTGTTAGAGCCCACACTAAAGAGAGAGAGAGAGAGAGAGAGAGAGAGAGAAAAAAAGGAAACAGTTTCGCAAACATTTTTGATCAACAGCAAATGTAGCTAAACTAAACAATTGCGAGCGGCGCTAAACTTTTGCCCAGCCCTCAGCCACGCCCCATACCCCACACTCCACCCCCTGACTGTCTGCAACTTTTTTTTTGGGTGCATAATGTGTGCACATATGCGACTGTGTGTGTGGGTGTGTGCCACTTGGGAGAATTGTGTAAACTTTTATAATTATTAGCAACAAATGAGCAGTGACAGAGCACTCTTGCAGTCAGTGTAACTTTGGCCAGACGGGACACTGTGTCCCGTTCCCAGTTGCAGACACAGAAATCACAAATGATTCCTGCCCGCTCTGGCTCAATATAAAAGTTTTAACTACCTGACTATTCGTACAACTATATAGAGGTATGTGTGTGCGTGTGTGTGTGAGCCAGACACTAAGAAATAGTGTCCCAATCAAAAGTCCTATAAAGTTTTAAATGCTTTAAGTGCGGGGTGGAGCGATAAAAAAAGCGCAACAAAAAAACTTTCTAATGCCAGTCCGAGTCGAGCAAGTTTTTATGGAATGCTTTTTAGGAACAGTGCATTAAATGCATGTTAACATATTTTAATGCCAACTTTAAATTGTTGAAATATGCAAGTAAGAGAGCTCTGTCTGCATTTCGGACCCGAAGACAAACTGAAATTGAAGCAATTCCCAGTAAATGTGGCTGGGCTAAAGAGCAACGTAAGTAGATTAAAACAAATCTGAGCAGTTGCAGTCGGGCAGCACTGACTGCATGATACTCACTCTTGCTGAAACTTTAATATACCGTAGAATAATGATTTTTCTGGTTAAGCACATCCTTATAATAATAAATAAAATCATATTAAAGATGCCATAATTGCACACACATCTTTTATACATTTAGAATTTATATTTTTATATAACAAATTTAATAATATATTAGCTTGAAAACAAAGTTCACCATTTTCAGAAATGAGCAAGACAGTGAACAAATGTCATTTTGTACTGTTTTTAAATACTAAAAAATATTGTACAATAATTTTGCTCCCAACGATGCCTTTACATAGCTGTCAACAACAAAACAAAGCTTATGGCAGTTTTGATTTTAGCTACATTCATTCAGTGCCTCTTGGCGAGGCAACATCAGCATCAAATTTTCAAGCGCTTGCTTAGAAAATAATTTTTGTTTTAAAACGGAAGTAGAAAGTCTACTAAGGAAGAAGTCTAGCCGAATATTTTTAGAATACAGTAGAATCCGGCTATACCGAAACCGCTTGTAGCGTCCGTACGGTTATTGCGGCGAAAATTCTGCTCCCCAGGCAGACTTAGTTGAGCAATTTTATTCGGCTATAGCGTCTGCCGTATCGGCGGTCCCTTGAACGTCGCTATAACCGGTTTCTACTGTGTATTTAGCACCGACTTAAAGCATTGCGGTTCCGTGAAGATGCAGCTGGATCGCCGTAAAGAGCTCAACACTGCAATGAAATGCGAAATTCTGGAAGATATGCGGTGATTATTTCCTGGACATCCTGGCTTGGTCAGGCGGTCTGAGACTGCTTTGGAGCGCATGTCAAATGATGATTGCAGACAAAGGATGGATGAAGCTACCAGCTTCTTCACGGTCCTCAGTGGACCTCCATTGCCTGTACCATCCCTACGTCCATAATTGGTCATTTCCCCTCGTCCTCAGCCCCTCAAGACCATTCCATTTTTAATTTATTTATTTTCTTATTTTTTTTATACTTTGCTATATACATTTTATAATAATAAAAATACCTTCGACACCCCACAAAATCGATGTGTGTACATTTACGTAGTTGAAATGTTATTTCAAGTAAATGCCAAACAAATCGAAATTCATTTCTCAACACTGCTTTTTGTTCTCGCTTTTATTGCGTTGGCGCTTTGTGGCATTATCCAGCACTCGCTACGTGTCAAAATCGATTAAAAGCAGACGGAAAAGAGCAGAGCAACACAGCGTAAGTCTACAGTGCACAACATTTTACGATCATGACGCGGAATATGAAGAAAAAACATAAACAATCCAAGAAGTCCGGAGCCAAGCCGAGCAATGCTGATAAGCAACTACAGCAGGAGGTGTTGCATGGCGAAAACTACGAGCAGAAGAAATCAAAGCATAAGCGAAGACACAAACATGAGCACTCCGAATCGGAAAACTCGTCCCCTCCAGTGTCAAGTCCACTTACAGTTTCGAGTCCGGAGCCGGCAGCGCTATCAGAGCCATCAGAGCCATCAGAGCCAACAGTGCCATCAGATCCATCAGAGCCAATAGTGCCATCAGAGCCATCAGAGCGATCAGAGCCATCAGAGCCATCAGAGCCATCAATGCCATCAGAGCCATCAGAGCGATCAGAGCGATCAGAGCCATCAGAACGATCAGAGTCATCAGAGCCATCAGAGCCGCAGCAGAAATCTCCGCTGCTTAATGAACCGTGGCTAAGAGGTAAGCGGCTGGAAGAGGCGCCAGTGGAGAAACCGCCTGTGGAACAACCGCTGCTGGAAGAATCGCTGGTGGCTTCGCGGCTGGAAGCACCGTGGGAAGAGGCACCGCGGCAGGGGCCATCGCGGCTGGAGACACTGCGGCGGGAGGCACTGCGGCGGGCGGAACTGCGGCAGGAAGCACGGTGGTTCAGCCGTGCTCCGCCGGACAAAGAGTAATAGCTATAACAAGTTTTTCTATTTAATATATGTATTAATATATATTCTAATAGACAAGCAGCTTGGCGGGAATATGAAGAGCAGCTACCTGAGGGCTACGTCTTTACTTTTTCCGAGCTGGGTTTTGGGTTGTCCGGCTCCCCGGCGGAGCGCCTTAGACCCCCACCCCGCCGCTTTTCGAGCTTCGTCATTCCCCAGCTGGAAACCTCCGAACCAATTGCTGTCCGTAAGCCAAAGGCCAGGACCGTTGAAGAGATGCCAGCCAGCGATAATATGGACTGGATGCACGGCCAGCGCTCTGAGGACGCATCGCCCGAAGCGAAACCCGATGCACCACGTTTGCCCACGTCGCAGGAGATGTGGTCGAGGTACGAGGCGCTCCAGCGAGGCGAAAATGCCGAGTGGCCACTTTGCTGTTTACTTGGTTCGAGGAGTACACGTGAGCCGCCCTCCACGCCCTCACCGTTGCCCTCGCCCGCGTTTCAGTTTGCGCCGAGCCCCGAAAGAGAATGCGAGACCCTTTTCACCCTGGCCCAGAAGGCTGACATCGATACAGCCATCGCGTCCATCGACAACGACAAATTCCCCCACCGAGACGAGTGGGAAAGGAATCTGGAAGTGCTGCAGCAGGATGTGAACTGTATGAGCATACAATTCGAGAGCATGGATCTCAGCCTGGAAGAGGAGCGGGCCCTGAAGGAATTCATAAGGTCGAACCGCCTGCACACGCCGCTAAGCGACATCAGAAATTACGAAAAGTTGCTGAACTTGGCCAGAAAAGAGGAGAAAAGAAAAGAGCTGCGCGATACGCTGAGGCCACAGATATTGAAACAGATGAGGAGCAACAGGTTGATGAGACCAGCTGCAATGGCAGTGCTAGAGTCTCTGGAGCCAGACATAGAGCTGCCATCATCGACACCCGACCCGCCACCCAACCCGCCACCCAACGCGCCTCCAAAAACACCACCACTACCCCCACCGCAACCACCGCAACCACCGCAACCACTGCCACCACGGCCACCACCGCCGCCGCCGCCGTTGCAGAGAATAACTGCAACTGCAACTGTGGAAATTTCAGAGGTCAATCCGCCCATCGTGGTCAACAATGAGGATCTGGAGAAGGCCATCAAGTCCATAATTATTGTGGAGCCAGCGGCGGAGCAGCTACAGCCGGTAAATATAAATGAGTTGATTATATTGAAGGACACAGCGGAGAATCGGCCCATCGGCGAGACAACGGATCAGCCAGTGATAGTGAGTGTGGGAGGGCTGAAGCCGGAGGACGAGGTCGTGCAGGAGTGGCTGCAACAGGTGGGCCACGATCTGTCGCTCGTGGTGCAAACCCGGATCGAGTCGATGCCCGTCAGTGAGCAGCCCACGGCAGAGCAGCCCATCGATTTCGAGGCAAAGATCAGCGAGTGCAGTCAGCTGCAGCCCAAGGTTAAGCCGGCAGTGCCAAAGGCGGACGCGGGGCAGTGGGAGAGCAGCTATAAGCGCCGGCTGGAGGACTTTGATGAGATCGTGGACCAGAACATGAGCGAGTTTCGCGATCCGCAGAGCAAGCGGCTGCGCATGAAATTGCCAGCGGAGCCCGTCAGGAGGAATCTGGAGAGCCTGAAGCGGGTGCTGCAAATGCCGGCGCTGCCCTCGCATCTCGACCAGCGCCTGCAGCAGCTGCGTATCCTGCGCCAGCCGACTAAGCGCAAGGTGGAGCGCACCAGCATGCCCGTCGAAATGAAGATGGTGCGGGTGTACAGCACAGTGCAGGCGAATCGTCGCATCGATGTGAGCCAGCTGGCCCTGGAGCTGGATAATGCGATCTACAATAGCGATATCCAGGTGCTGCAGCAGAGCTACGAGGCCGGCCACATGGCCTGGATCTGGCAGACCGGCAGCATACTGATCGTCAATGCGCGCAGCAAGGCGCTGCTGCTGGACACCCAGCGGACTCTGCTGGCCAAGATTCTGGGTGCCGCCCAGACCATTCAGCTGCCCCACTGCAATGCCGTGCACTCCCAGATGGTGCACATCGCCCAGTTCACCTGGCAGATCAACATCGAGGAGTTCAGCCAATCGTATTCGTTGAGCGCCGAGCCGATGCACGATAGCGCCAGGTACGCCCACTATGTGCACAAGACGGTGCCCGGCGTGGTGGCCAAGGTGTACGAGAGTGGTGTCATTCACGTCTACGCGATGAGCTCATCCCTGGCCGACACCATGCTGGAGAAGCTCTACCTGCTCACCGCCAACCATCGCAAGCCCAAGACGGCGACTGTGCCGCCCCGGCCCAAGCCCGAATGCAACGGCACCTTCATATCACTGTTTCCCACTTGACCGCATGCATATGTAGCTTCTCAATTATCAGTGAAATACACTCAGCCAAACTACAACTAATAAAGAATTTTTCATAGTCCTGTGCTCTTTCACGTTGAGTTCAAGAGAAGCCCGTTGATTTAAAGAGCGCGCTGAATGGAAGGGCACACAGAAAGCTCGCTCGCTCGCTCGCTCGCTGCAGAGAGTCGAGTAGATGCTCTCTCGCCCTCTCGCTGCGTGTATTGCTCTCTCGGCTGAGCTTTTGGCAACTCGCAGCTGGCATCGTGGCATCGTGTCAGGCCGCAGCGCTTTTTGGGTTAAAGTCGTGAGTGCTGGCCCATCAAATATGCCGTGCGACGGACAGCAGGATTTGCGGAGCGCTGGAATTTAATTCATAAGTTAAGTGGCGTGTCCTCGGCCGTATATAGCCAAGGTTAAGTGTGGCTCGCTGCAGCGAAACACGTCAGCACCGACCGACCGGCCGTCCGACCGACCGTCCGTCCGAGCGAGTCCCATTCTGAGGCCCGATTCCCGTCGCCCACTCGCTCAGCGTGTGGGTGTTATAGCTTCTGCCCTCGAGTGGCTTCTTCTGTTAAGGTTTTGCTGCTTGAACACGAAACGGCATACCCCCTGACACGTAGAAGACCGCTCCGGCGCAACTTCAACAATTGCCTGGAAATATAATACATGGCTCCCATTGTCTGGGCGGTTTTGGCCATTGTCTGCAGGGCTAAAAGCGTTTCGATTGAATCTGTTTGGCAATGTGCGAGCGCGACAAACAAATTAAGCAAATGACACCGCGAACGAAGCCCTGACCAACACTAATAGCAACAACAACAAGACCAACAACAACAACAACAACAGAAACAATAACATAATCAGACCTTGTCACGCCCACAACAAATGCAAATGCCGCCCCTTAGCCACACAATCCCTAGCGATGATTTGCATAAAGAAATAACCCAAAAGGCGATTGGGCCTGGCTGACCTTTTGTATGCCAATTCGAATGGGCGCATGCCCCACCCATTCGGCTGTCCCTCTTTCTGGTTTTTATCGACCTTTTTGATTTGCTCGACACGTTTCAAGCCAACCCACTCGACACTCGACACCTACGAATACACAAAAAGCAATGCAGCAAATATTGTAGTAATCAAAAATGCAAATATCACTACGTGAATTGTAAAATATCTCCAATTCGCTTTGCGCTTTTTTTTACAGGGTATGTGCATATATTGTATGTATATCCTGGTAGCCGGAGTTTGGGTTAGGCATAGCCCGGAGATAGACATAAATCTGCCGTTGCTTATCACAAAAAGTTAATTGCTTTCCCGTGCTCTCTATTAATTATATTCCATAATTTGTTTAGCCTAATTAGCGGCAGACAGGCGAACAGGATGCGTCGCCTTAGCAAGGACGTTGCCTCGGCCAAAGGTCGGAGTGGGCACGATTTCGAGTGGATCATTAGCAGCAACTCGAATACAAACAGAATTTTGCAATTGGGTCATTGAAAGTGAATTTGGACATAAATTTATATTTATATTTATATTTTCCATATTGCAATTAAATATTTTGAGGGCGTCTGTTAGATAGGAAAATGTAAATTTATAGACAGTGCAAAATATTTATTCATTTATTTATTTATTACTTGATCTTAAAATAAAATCTTATTTATTCATAATAGTCAAAGCTTTAATATATTACTATAATTCTATAAAAGAACTTAACTTATTTCCATACAAATTTTCATATTTATTTATTTTATATTTTAATTGATAGAAAAATAAGGAAAATGTATTTTATTGGTAAAGTTGGCTTTAAAATATTAATTTATATCAATTTATATTTATAATTAAAATTATAATTTTTGTATATTATAAAATATATATATACCTAAAAATTTAATATCATTAAAATGCAACGCATAGCAATTTCATTCTTTTATAATTATATTATTATATTACGGCTACACGAATAATGTGAATTCAAAAAATAAATAAAAATGAAAGGTTAAATTGTATATTTTTGTATTTTAATGTTATTGTATAGTAAATTTAATCGTATATTGCATAGAAATAGAGTTTAAAATATCCTCATTTCGAAGGAAATTAATTTATATGAAAGCTATTCAGAAACACAATATATGATGATTTAATTTGAATATTAATATATTTACTTTTACCTCACTTTACTCGCCGTCACCTATCTATTGACTCTATATATGATCATATCATATATCATATTTAAATCAAATTCAATTTTGCAAAACTTTGCTCGCTTACAAATCGGTTTACTTGCCAAGTAAGTTTCAAGTAGCTCCACAATTCTCACCTCTCTATATAGATGTAGGTATATCCATCCGCATTTGCATATATCCAGCGCTAATCAAATTATCAACAAAAACTTTTGCTCAACATTATTATAATGTGTAGCTGTCGCCATTTATCAAATTTCTTTACTTAACATGCAGACAAAAAATTTAAAAAAAAAAAAAAAAAGAAAGAAAATGTTAACTTGTTTACATAAATACATGAATTCTACTTTTTGGCTAGTCCGTGTCGCCAGCCATGGAGATGCAGTCGCCATTCGGAGTTTGTTTTGGGCTCGGCGCGTGATTTTTTAATGCAAAATCCGTGTAGTGTTGCGCGCTGCCGAGTTGTTTGGCTGGGCGGGGCGAGGAGGGGAGGCGTGTGCTTTCTCGCGTAGGTTAACAAAGGGCCATGTACCGTTGCTTGTTTTTGCCATTAACAGCAATTACAAATGGCAAACAAAAACGCCAAATGGGCGGCCAACGCGCTGCCCGGACAAGGACGAACTTTTAATTATTTAGAGGCGAACGCGAAAGTCGCACAGTTTTTCACACAACTCTGGTTGCAGTTGCCAGTTTGGGCCATGGCTGTGACGCCCCCCATGCCCCTCTCGTTGGCCAGGTAAATTCAATTACGCAGCTGCTGTCATTGTAGTTCGGTTTTTGTAATTACAAACAACTTCACCAAGTTGCAACTAATCAAATTACTCGACTGCCGATTCACCCAGCTCTGGCTGAGCCTAAACCTATGCGCGGAGCCAAGCAATAAGCGATAATATATGGCGGGGATTTGGGACTGCTTTGCTCGCATGCTAAGGATTTTATCGTCTATCAGCAAGCGCGAGACCAAAAATGGCTTTTGAAATTGTGCATCAATGCATGAAATGCGCCATGAAAGCATTTCAGATAAACTCGCGAAACTAACAAATAACCATGTGGAAAAGCCACGCGCAAGAGGTTAAAGCCATGTGAGTGAAAGGGAGCGAGAGAGAGAGAGAGAGAGACAGGGAGAGAGAGAGAGAGAGAGAGAGAGAGAGAGAGAGTGAGGCAGAGCATGTGAGTGTATGCTAAGTAAACAGTTTTGAAACATTTAGGCAGTTTAGGGGATATGCAGTCGATGATGACGATGAGTTTTTCATTTAGCTTGAAATAGCTTGAGACGCCGCTTACAACAGCAGCCAGGAAGCAGCTCTAGGAGCAACAGCAGCAAGCAAAGGCAGCCTAGGCAACGGAGCAGCAGAAATTCCATGAGAATAAAGCACATTGCTGGAGCTGAAGCAGCGCTCTCACTTGGAGCAACTGAACGCAACAACAACTGAACGACACCCAGCAACAGCAGCATCTAATGAGTCCCCAGATAACAGGGCAAAGCTAAAAGTTGATTTAAAAATGTAAATTGCAGCAATACAAATTTTGTAGTTGCATTTTCACTTGTGGCTGAACATTTTCTAAAAAAAAAAAAAAAAAAAAAAAAAACTGCATGAATATTGACCTTAAGTCTGAATTTTATGAATTTTAGGGCGTACGACGTGATTTACATTAATCAATGGGAAATAACAGTAAAAAGCATGCAAAGTGTTAATGGCTACAAAATGTTTAAACTTTAACTGTGTTTACCCACTGCCTCTGCATTTCAATGAACCACATGACTCACAACTGAATGAAGACGGATTTTGGGTATAAAAATGGACTGCCAGCTGCAGCGGGGTGTCAATCAGTCCTCAGCTACTCCCAACAGCAGCACAACCTACAAATCCTCAACATGTTCAAATACGTAAGTATAACTACAGGAGTATCCCTGCAATCAGAAACTCAACTCCTATTATTACCAGGCCGTTGTCATCCTCGCCATCGTCGCCGCCGTCTCTGCCAAGCCTGGTCTGCTCCTGGGCAGTCCATTGGCCTACAGTGCACCAGTTGTGGCTGCTGCTCCTGCTGCAGTGGTTGCTGCTCCTGCTCCTTACGTGACGGCCACCAGCAGCCAGGTCATCGCCCGCAACTACAATGGCATCGCCGCTGCTCCAGTCATCGCTGCTGCTCCAGTTGCTGCTCCAGTCATCGCCAAGTATGCTGCTGCTCCTTTGGCTGCCCCATTGGCTGCTCCTGTTGCTGCTCCAGTCATCGCGAAATATGCCTCTACTCCACTGGCTGCTCCTCTGGCCTACAGCTCACGCCTGACCTACGCAGCTGCTGCTTCCCCATTTCTGTTTTAAGAATATCTCGCTTAAATTGAATAAACGAAAAGACTATTGAAATATTTATTGTTTGATATGGCAAAATGCTAGGGATATTTTACATTATGTTAATTTAAATTGTTGGAAAGAAACGCGGCTATCGATATATCGTATCGCATTGTAATAGATGATATTCTTTAACAGGAATAGCTGAACAAAGTCATATTGATATATTTGCTTGTTATATTTGCTCTTATTAGCTGCTGTGTCCTAAATCCATAGTGAATTTAAACACATTAAATAATCTCAAAAAATTGGGCAAAGGTATTAAGCCATAAATATTCAAGAACTATTTTTTACATTATTAAATTTTTGTCAATAGGTATAGTATTTTAAATTATTAATATAAAAGCTTGGATAACCTCATGTTTGATTTAAGTAAAGTTCCCATTTATACTCTAAACCAATTCAAAATGGGAATCAAGGTATTATGGTTTTGTTTTTTAGGGAATGATGGCAGCAATATTTAGGTGAATTTATCCATTATCATAAATTCAAAAATATTTAAATTTTAATTATAAAAATATAAAATTTTAGAATAAGCAACAAAAAAAAAAAAAAATTATAATAATAATTAAGCTCAAAGCATTTTAAATAATATACCCTTATAATATGAGCTATGACTTTATTGCAACCCACTTTCACCCAGTTACACTTACTAGAACCTTATTTACAAGATAAAACGAAATTCATTAAATTTTATGTCCATATTTTATTTCATTCATTTAATTGCAGTCTCGATGATCACAGTGGCATTTCTTAAAGTAAGAGGCGTGCTGGGGCAGCATAGCCAAGGGGAGCACTGTAGGCCAGGGGAGCAGCGAATGGAGCCGCCACATACTTGGAGATCACTGGAGCAGGAGCAGCCAGAGGCGCACTCACATAGCTGGCAAACACTGGAGCAGCGGCTATTCCATTGTAATTGCGGGCGAACACCTGGCTACTGGAAGAGGTGACATATGGGGCAGGAGCAGCAATCAGTGGAGCACTATAAGCGAGGGGCGCACCCAGAAGACCTGGCTTGGCAGCAGCGCACGCGATGATGGCAAGGATGACAACGGTCTGCAAAGAAGAAGAAAAGTATACATATATTATTATAAATATATAACTGAATTAAATGAAATGAATATTCAACTTACGAATTTGAACATGTTGAATGGATTTGATTTAGTTCTTAGTCCGAAGAGAGCTAAAAAGTCTTTGATGACCTGCAACAGTTCGAGCTGTGGTATTTATACCAAAAGAGGACTACGAACTCGACCTTACAGTTGCATTTTGTCAATTCGTTGGCCCTACGACGTGTTATACATTAATCAATGGGACACAGCAGAGGCGATAATGGCTACAAAATGTTAAACTCTAACTGTGTTTGCCCACTGCCTCTGCATTCCAATGAACCACATGACTCACAACTGAATGAAGACGGATTTTGGGTATAAATATGGACTGCCAGCTGCAGTGGGGTATCAATCAGTCCTCAGCTACTCCCAACAGCAGCACCACCAACAAATCCTCAACATGTTCAAATACGTAAGTATAGCCAAAGGAATATCCATTCAATCCGAAACTGAACTCTCATTTTACTAGGCCGTTGTCATCCTCGCCGTCGTCGCCGCCGTCTCTGCCAAGCCTGGTCTGCTCCTGGGCAGTCCATTGGCCTACAGTGCACCAGTTGTGGCTGCTGCTCCTGCTGCAGTGGTTGCTGCTCCAGCTCCTTACGTGACTGCCACCAGCAGCCAGGTCATCGCCCGCAACTACAATGGCATCGCCGCTGCTCCAGTGATCGCTGCTGCTCCAGTCATCGCGAAATATGCTGCTGCTCCATTGGCAGCTCCAGTTGCTGCTCCAGTCATCGCCAAGTACGCTGCTGCCCCATTGGCTGCTCCTCTGGCTTATAGCAGTCCCCTGGCCTATAGCTCGCCTTTCGCTTATGCTGCCCGCGCTCCAGTTCTTTTGTAAGGACGCCTCATGTGACTGCAAATAAAACTTAAAATGCTTAATAACTGAAACTTATTGATGGAATTCAAACTGCTGTGGGGCACCTTCATTTGCTTCGGTATTGGAGTCACGTACTCAGGGGAAAACAATTGTTCACAACGTTGTCCAAATAATTGATGTCGAATGTTTCGTGTGGCATTGATATTTCGCATGTGTGTCAAGGTCTCAAAGGGCTGGCTTGCCAAGGTCTCCGCAGTTTAATGAACTCTGAACAAACGGTTAATTGAGAGACGAAATAATGAGTCAACGCGAAAACATGTTTATACATATGTATTTATGTATAATTGAATTTCGGATAAAAGAATATTTATTGCATTATCATTTTTAATGTAAATTATGCATTATACTTATGAATTTTATTTTAATTCAATATTCGAAAATTTAACATATTAAAAATATTTGTAATTCTTTAATATTTTAGTTTTATAAATTATTAATACATTTTCAAAATATTTAAAGATCTTTCTTGCTAAGCAATTGTATACATTATTTGATGTTAAATCTTTTGATTATTATCTAGAGTTTGCATCTTTTATTTATTATTTTTATTTTTTTTTTATTTTGCGGAGTAAAATTCTTTTGCATCCGTACAGAATATTTGTAAATATTTGTAGTAAATTGGCAAAAAAAAAAAAAATAAATAAATAAATAAATAAAATAAAATAAAATAATAATAATAATAATATTAATGAAAATAAATAATTTTTTATGGGTATAATTATTCGTTTAATGCATTGTATGAGAAAATTTCCCATTCTACAATAAATTAATTGATTACCTAAAATTTTTAGACAAATTCAAATATTTATTTATATTTGAATCGAAATTTGCACAGTGCGTCTTAGTGAAGCATTAAATATAAAAAATTTTTATTACGATTTGATTTAAGTGTTATTTATTAAATTATTCCCAAAAATTAATTTCTTCATTTTACAAAAGAACTGGAGCACGGGCAGCATAAGCAAAAGGCGAACTGTAGGCCAGGGGACTGCTATAAGCCAGAGGAGCTGCCAATGGGGCAGCAGCGTACTTGGCGATGACTGGAGCAGCAACTGGAGCTGCCAAAGGAGCAGCAGCATACTTGGCGATGACTGGAGCAGCAACTGGAGCAGCAGCGATCACTGGAGCAGCGGCGATGCCATTGTAGTTGCGGGCGATGACCTGGCTGCTGGTGGCAGTCACGTAAGGAGCTGGAGCAGCAACCACTGCAGCAGGAGCAGCAGCCACAACTGGTGCACTGTAGGCCAACGGACTGCCCAGGAGCAGACCAGGCTTGGCAGAGACGGCGGCGACGACGGCGAGGATGACAACGGCCTGGTAATAATAGGAGTTGAGTTTCTGATTGCAGGGATACTCCTATAGTCATACTTACGTATTTGAACATGTTGAGGATTTATTGGTGGTGCTGCTGTTGGGAGTAGCTGAGGATTGATTGATACCCCACTGCAGCTGGCAGTCCATATTTATACCCAAAATCCGTCTTCATTCAGTTGTGATTCGTGTGGTTCATTGAAATGCAGAGGCAGTTGGTAGACTTAGTTAAAGTTTTACATTTCGTACTCATTATCGCGTGGCTCTTTGTGTTATTTCCCACTGATTAATGTATAACACGTCGTGGGACTAAAAATGCGAAAAGTGCAGCCATAAGGTCAATGTTGTTGAGTTCCTGGCAGTTGAGCTAGGAATATTTCATTTCTTGTGTCTGTCTATTTATTTAATTTAATTTTTATTTTTGGACATTTCCTAAGCTATACGCATTTATATTGATTATTCGTTTTTATACTACGGCAGCATCAGTGGTTGCACCTTGAGTTAGGCACTCGCTTCTGTTTCACAAACTTGCGATATGATGTAACATGCTGAATATATATAAAGAAACAAATATGTAATCTTTGAATTTATGTCAACTTTGCGTATTTCTGTGCATCCATTGCTTATTCTAATTGGAATTGTGGCTCGGCCATAAACAAAAGGTCCGTAACGGCAACGACCGTTGGCCGCTTGGATTGCAGGTCACGTAGGCCACGTTAAAAATATTGTCAACACTGGCGAAGCGACGCGTGACATTAAAGTGTCCAAAAGCAACTTTGAATTTGTTTTGAAAAAGACATGCAATTATGTCAAGGTCATGGGGAAATGGACAGTAAACCGTTAACTGCGAGTCAAAGCTCGAATTTAATTATAGTAAATAAAGTGCATATGGAATTTGAGACAGATCAATTATATAAAAAAAAGTCAAAGGTTAAAAAACTGCAGTTGAATTATTTAGTTGAAGGATTTAAAAAAAATTATTTTATGTACATTAAAATTTTGAGATATTAATAATAGGATCAGATATAATAGAAGTGTCTGATGTTTTTATTTTACTTATTAATACTTAGGAAATTTCCTATTTAAATAAATATAATTTTTGTAAATAAATCAATGAATAGAACAAAATCTTTATGGACTAAACTAAACTAAAAACTTAATTCAAACATAATAATTTTATTTTATTTATTTTTTATTGTTTTTTAGATCACTTTACAATACTTAAACGCTAATTTTATAAAGGATACTGAATTTACATATGGATGCTTACCTAGCAGAACGTTAAACTAAAAATCTAATTAAATAATATAACATATATATTTTTAAAATTATATTAATATGCATTTGCATATAATCTGCAGCTGGGATCTTTTAGGAGTTTTATGAAATAAATGTAGTTTCTCTAATTGAATTTATAATATAATATATATATTTAAGTATTTTTGCAAGGCTATAAATATAATAATATAATTCCTTAAGGCTTGTAGAACTTGTTATCCATTAAATATTGTTCCAAATTAACCATAAATATTAACACCTCTTTTTATATAATTTTTTGTATAGTTATTTATTTACTTATATACATTTTTACATCGAATCACAGAATACATATTGTTTAGCCCAAAAGTGGCGCTGGAGCAGCAGCATAGCTCAGCGGTGCCAAAGGAGCAGCGGCGTATCTGGCGTACAGTGGAGCTGCCAGGGGAGCAGCAGCGTACTTGGCAATCAGAGGTGCAGCCAGGGGAGCTGCTGCATACCTGGAGTAGAATGGAGCAGCCAGGGGAGCAGCTGCGTACCTAGAAATCAAAGGAGCAGCCAGAGGAGCAGCCAGAGGAGCAGCGATGGGTGCTGCTAGAGGAGCAGCAAGAGACGCCACAGCCCTGGCAACTGGAGCAACTGGAGCGACTGGAACCTGAGCAATCAATGGAGCGGTGGCAATGCCATTGAAGTTCCTGGCCACCACTTGGCTGCTGGTCGCAGTTATGACAGGTGCAGGGGCAGCCAGGAGGGCGGCAGGAGCAGCGAGCGGTGCGTGCAGCAATCCTGGTTTGCCGGCGGCGCAGGCAATCAGAGCGCAGAGGACAACGGCCTGAAGAAAGTGTAGAAGGACATGTGGAATGAGTAACAGGAGCAGGACAACATAAAATGCAGACAACTTACGTATTTGAACATGTTGAGGGATTTCTGATTGCTCTTTGGAGTTGCCACTTGAAAAGCGAAACTGTGTTTGATGACATGTCTTCGTTTTCGATTTATTTTTATAGCAAATCAAAACGCACGTGACGGACGCGCAATAGAGAGAGAGAGAGAAAGAGAGAGAGAGAGAGAGAGAGAGAGAAAACAAAATGAAGAAGCCCAAAGAGAAGAAGACAGCAAAAAAACAAAAAATGTCTAAATTAGCATGCAGAACGCGCAGGCAAAGTAAAGCAAAGCCAAGCAGCCGAAACGCAGACACACCTGGACTAACTGTAACGGTAACTGTGTGGAGGCGTTGGCTAATATTGCAATTTGATTTTATTTTCAAGTGCATAAGCCTCAAGCAGCAAGTGATCGGTGAAACTTTTGATGAATGAGCAGCTAAGGATGAGAGATGATTGATAGGCTGATGAATTATAGAACAAAAATGCCAATCTAATGTATTATTTTCGCTTCATTTCTGGTTGAATTTTACCATACTTCTTTCGAGATCATTATCTTTGACTTCTTAATTCTCTCTTTCTGTTAAGAAATATATAGACTTTCACTCTCAATTTGAATCTCTCATCAGTATTTTTACTTTCTTTCTCTATCTCTCTCTCTCTATCTCTCTCTCTCATTATCTCTCTCTGAATCTTTCTTCTGTGTCTTACCATTTCTTTCTCAGTTTTGCACTATCTCTTTCGCTCGCACTCACTTTCTCTTAATATGCTTTTCTACTTCTACTGCTAATTGCTCTCTCTCTCTCTCTCTCTCTCTATCTCTCTATAGCTCCTGTTCTCTCTCCCCTATAGTATTTATTTATAGCATTTAATCAATAGGTTCACTAAACCTTAAAACAAAATTGAATTGCATCAGCCTTGACCTGATAAAAATGTGTTCAACCAAATGAAACCAATTTTGTGTCAACAAGCTAAAATGTTTACTGCTCGTTTGCTTACACACACACACATACACAAATTTGTGTATTTGTGTGTGTGTGTGTTTTTGCTGACCCGAACTGTGTGGGCGAGCAAATCATTTGAAGTTCGCTGTGGCCGCTTGAACGTGCTCAAAATGTATAATTGGTCGAATTTCTCTGAGCCACCTGGAGCTGAATTGTGCTTTAAGTGTTTAGCATTTGGCTATAATATATTGCTGAAATAAATAAAAGAATCTATGTGAAGCAAGAATATCTGTAGCTGAATAAGGGAAAAAACATTTATATGACAAGCGAATGTTTTTATTGAGATTTATTTATGTGACATACAATATTACTTAGTATTTACGTCAAGAATTACAGTTCGTATTGCTAGACTTTGTACACCTTTAAGATGCTTTGCAAACACACACACACAAATCACATTCGCCTTGGCATGACAAGCGAGGGGGTGTGTGCGGTAAATCCAGTTATGCCCTCGTCGGCTGCTTTGATCGTTTGCTCGGCTTAGCTTAGAGCATCGGTTTATAGGAAATGACATGCAGAAAAATAATAGATAGGAAAAAATATAAATAAAATGCTGGAGTTTTTATTATGCGTTCACTGTCAGGCGACAGTGTCTGAGCAGTGCTTAGCCGACAGAAGCTCATCGCATTTGCCTCAAGTCGCAAAGACTCAAAGTTGACTCGAGGCAACAAATGCGACGTCACATAGAGATTTATAATAAATAGAGCTGATAATTTAGCTATAATAAAGGAGTATTTTTAAAAGTAAAATTATATTTAAAAAATAATGTATTATTATTCTTTAAATTGTAATTCATATCTACATAAAATATTATTCTAAGAAATTTATATTGAAGAGAAATTATTACTAATACAATTAAAACATAAATGATATATAAATGCACAAATAATTAATATTTATTTATTAAAAAAATTATGATATAAACATGAGTACATAATATTATTCATATACATATTAAATTTTTATATTATTAATTAATAATTTTTTATGATTAAAAAGATAAATGTGTAAATAAACTCCTAAATTAAAATAAATTTTAAAATTAAATATTATTATTAAAATTAAAAAATATTATTATTAAATTTAACATGAAAGAATCATTTTTAGAATTTAAATTAAGCCTATTAAAATGAATATTAATATACAATATTTTTATTAAAGTTAAAATTCACAGTCAAACACAATTTTATTATATTAAATAATTTTATTATATTTTCTAAATATTGTTATTAAATAAATATATAATTAAATATATTTTTTAATGTATTTCTATTTGCTGTGAACATCTTGAAAAAAAAAAAAAAAAAAAAAAAAAAAAGAAACTAGGTCCCAATTCAGATTTATTTCCAAATTAGTATTAAATATATGTCATAAAATTTGCAAGTTTCCCAATCAATTCAATTTCATGCACTTTGATTTTCATACAAATTTTGTATAATTAGGTGCGGCAATCGAAATTGGCTGCCCTTCGGGTTTTCGGCCACAGAGCGGGAGGCCCTCAAAGACATTGGCTGGAGCCAAGCAGCGGCTCAGCTACCAATTATAATGCCAGCACTTATAATGGGCAACGTGCTGGACGCAGGGCGCATTTTAAGTAGCCACGGCAGCAGCTCCATGCACGTATAAATATGCGCTGCATGGCCCCAGTTTGACATCAGTTAGCTTTTCGCTTTCAAGCCATCAAGCAAGCCAGCAAATCATACCCAACCAAACACGAATCAATTCAACATGTTCAAATACGTTAGTTTTCCATGGCTCTTGGGTGCTTTGATGGGGTCTTTCAGCTAATCCTTTCCCTACATTCCACAGGCCGTCGTCATCTGCGCTCTGATTGCCTGCGCTGCCGCCAAGCCAGGCCTCTTGCACGCTGCTCCCCTGCTGGCTCCCGCTCCCGTTCTGGCTGCACCTGCTCCAGTGGTCACGGCTGCCAGCAGCCAAGTGGTGGCCAGAACCTTCAATGGCATCGCAGCTGCTCCCGTGATTGCAGCTCCAGTTCCAGTGGCGCCAGTTGCTCCAGTTGTTCGCGCCGTGGCACCAGTCGCTGCTCCGCTGGCTGCTCCAGTTTTCCGACCAGTGGCTGCCCCATTGGCCACTCCATTCGCCGCTCCTCTCATCAGGACAGTCTCACCATACGCCGCTCCCTTTGCATCGCCCTATGCAGCACCTGTGTTTGCCAAGTACACAGCTCCATTGGCTTATGGAGCAGCCCCACTTGGCTATGCCGCAGCTCCCGCATTGTGGTAGAGCAGCCAGCGCCCAGTAAGGATTAACAGCCCATATAGGTGTGTGTGTGTGTATCCTCAATGACTGATAGCCTTTAATAAAAATCGTTCAACTTCGTATAAAAAGAAAGAAAATCGCTGCTTTTCCATTGTTTGTCTAGACCGCAGGGGTGGCCAATTTTTCGGTGCTTTATGGCTGACCATAACAGCTCCATAATTGATTTTGCAACACTGGAAAATCGTTGGTAGCGAAAAGAGTTATACGAATATGAAGTGTGGCAAGAGTATATTTTCTAAGGGAGAATTAAGACGCAGAACCTACCTAGAACAGTTATTGGATATAATAGAAAAATTCTCTTAAATTTCATTCATATTTATTTAAGTCTTAGCTAGCAATTAAAAAACTTTTTTTTATTTTTTTCTTTTTTCGTTTTATGTTAGTGATGACTTCCAAATTTTGTTGTTCTGCAAAATTAATGAATTAGTTAAAATCATAATTTTTTTTTGCTTTTCATTTTATATTTAGCTATAAATTATTACTAGGCTTTCAACTCTCAATTTTACTTATAATTTTTTTTTGTTTAAATTACTTTTTTATTTGTACTACTATTACTTTTAGCTAAAAATTCCAAAAATTACACGTTGTTCTGTGGTTTTTATTATTATTATTATTATTATTTTTTTTTATTTTTTATAAATGCTTAAAAAGTACTAAAATTGCATTGAAAAAATCAGCAATTTAATTTTATTTTTTAGCAAATATAAATAATAAATTATTCGTTTAATTGTAACAGAGCTCCTTGGTTTTAAATTGATATATATTTTTTAAAAATTAATTTATACACTTTTCGTATTTTTTAAATCCATGAAAAAGTATATGATTATTATTTCATTTATTTCTTTTTTTTTATTTGCCAATTTATTTTTAATATTTTTAAATTTTTTTTTTCTTTTTTTAACAACCATTATATAAGAATTAATTTACTTTTATTTAAATTTGTTAACTGAAGTTTTACAGTGTATACAAAATTCTAAAGAAGAATTGCTTCGTTTTCTTTCTGAATGTGTGTGTGTGTGTGTTTCTTTTTTTTTTTTGTATTTTTGGCTCCCATATAGGTAGAGAGGTTGGCCGAGTCAATCGTTTGTGGCGCAATGCTTTTATTCAGGTCATTTGTGCTCCATTGTCCTACGTCTTTCACTTGCGTCCATCTAAAACGAATTATGGCACATGTCCCTGTTCCCGTGTGTGGGTGTGGGTGTGTGTGTGTGTGCCGTAGGTCAGCTCCTGCACTGGACCTCGACTTGAGTTGACTGCAATGCTGGCCGGAGTTCAGGTTCATGTCGTTTCTCATGCGCTTTTCCCTCATATTTGCCATTCATTTGGCTTTGGCAAACAAAAGACGAGCGAACGGACGAACCAATAAATGTTCGAATTATTTCATTCGATTTCTCTTCTGTGGGCTTTAAGACTTTAAGGAATGAGGGCTCTCTGTCTGTGTGTGTGTGTGTGTGTGTGAGTGTGTGTGTGTGTATGTGTGGGCTGCAACAACTAACTAATGCAAAGTTGAAAGCGAAAACTTAAACGGCAAAGATAAGCGGCACACGCTTGCCATATACCAACCGCCCCCTTCTCTCTACGCCTTCCCCCCTAACAACTCCATAGCCCTTTCGTCTTGGTTGATTCTCAACAGCAGCGCAAACGCAGCAAAGTTTATCCTCAATTAAACTTTTTGTTGTTGCGTAAAATTGCGCCAGAGTTCAGTTTGTCTGTGTGCGTGTATGTGTGTGTGTGCGATAGGCCATACGTCAGAGGTACATGTAGGAATATGCCCATCTCATTCACTCTGTCTCC